AACTTCAGAGAACCGTGAGCATGCAAATGTGAAGCTGAATAATTGTTTGTTTGTTTGTTTGTTTTTTCTCAGGGGCACTTAAAGTAAATATATTAGATGAAAGAGGTTCAGATGACAAAAAAAGTTTGGGAATGCCTGCATTACATGAAAATAAGAAATAACATGAATTTGTGCATTTGAAAGACATTACAAAGACATAATGAATGTGTTCATCTGTAGTTGATGCACTGTTGAAATACTAAGAAAACACTTCTTAAAACTGAAATGATTTTTGTAAATCAGCGCTCAGTCCCCTCTCTTGAATTCTCTACTACAGCGGGACATGTGTTTTGGTAGGTAGGTAGGGTGAGGAAATTCCCAAAAAGTTTAATAAAGGGTGCGCCTAACTGACCAGCCGTTACTACATAACAAGATACTGCATGTGTAAACTTTTTAGCTGGAAAATGCTGTTGGCGGAAGTGAAAAGGCTTAAAGTGGCCGAGTTGCGTGTCATGTTAACGGAGCAAGGACTGGACTCCAGAGGCCTGAAGGCCGAGCTGGTGGTTCGGCTGATCTCTGCGATTGAACCTACTCCCACCCCTAACCCTAACCCCTCCCCCACACCTACTCCCACCCCTAACCCTAACCCCTCCCCCACACCTACTCCTAAACCTACCAATACTAGGGGCTGCATAATCTGGCAGGGTGCAAATTTCGGCACTACACCGGCGATGAACGCGTCAGAAGTGGAGATGAAGGGGGAAACGCAAGCGAAGCGACGAGTACATAGTCTCATTCCCCGGAATCTGAGCAGCAGTGTGTTAGGACGCAGTCTGCAGTACACACTAGTCCTCCTAAAAAGAGCATGAACGCGTTTACTGTTCAGAGCACACAGACTGACCCATATCAGCTGTGTTCATGCACGGCCTCAAGAGCCATCGTAGAGCAGCTGGCCGCTGGGACTTTAGAGGCGCTTAGATGTGGACAACAGCATCCCGTCGCCGTGGCAACTGTTGCTACGGAGGATGCCGAGTCAGGATGCTCATCATCAGTCTTTCAGAGCCAGAAGCACCACCGTAGCAAGACCAGTGTAACACATCCTTAGTGCAGAATTAAAATAGTGCTGCTTTGCTGTTCATATAATACAATTAAAGCAAGATGAGAAAACGATGGTTGCTCTCTCCTGCAGTGCTCCTTAGGCTGTCAGATGGACCTGAGACGGTGGACTCCAGCCCAGAGGAAAGCAGGGAACTGAAGAGGCCTCATGAGGAGAGAGGCAGAGAATATTACGAGTTCAAACAGGACATTTATTACAACAGGTATTGATTATCGATCTGTAGAAACTGCAAGAGCTTGTACTACAAGGTATTTCGAAGAACACATAATTTCCGAAATTTAGGAAATTGCTTATGCTCACCAAGACTGCATTTCTTTGTAAAATTCCGAAATATTATTGCAATTTAAGAGAGCTGTTTTCTATTTGAATATATTTAGAAATATTATTCATTCTTGTGATGCAAAGCTGATTTTTCAGCATCGCTGCTCCAGTTTTGAGTGTCACGTGATCTTTCAGAAGTCATTCTGCTGTTCAAGAGACATTTCTGATTATTATCAGCTTTAAAATTGATCTTTGATTAATAAAAAGGTCAAAACAGCATTTATTTGAAATATAAATATTCTGTAAGCAGTGCTGGGTAGTAACGGATTACATGTAAGAGCTGATAAAAACATTGCAATAATCCACAAGTAATCCACAGCACTCCAGTTCATCAGTTAAAGTCATATTTTTTCACTGGAGAAAGCTAAATTATGGATAGAGGACTAGTATTTTAGCTGTAAGAAGTGGTTTAAACGTCAGAATCATCTTAATGATGGATTTGTTTTTGTACAAACATGCAGCTTTTGGCTTCACAAGTCATTAACTGATGGACTGGAGTGGTGTGGATTACTTGTGGATTATTGTGATGTTTTTATCAGCTGTTTGGACTCTCATTCTGACGGCACCCATTCACTGCAGAGCATCCATTGCTGAGTCACTGATGCAATGCTACATCTCTCCAAATCTGATGAAGATCAAACTCATCCTGATCTTAGACGGCCTGGGGGTGAGCACATTTTCAGCAAATTTTCATTTTTGGGTCAACTGCTCCTTTTAATTGCATTCAGGTTCATTACTAATTTATATCTATTCCCGATCCAGTTCATCAGCGAGACAGGAGAAGCGACGCTCTCTTGGAGTGGCGTTTCACCTGAACTCCTCTACTTAGACAATTCATTAACAATTCAGTGAATTCACAAGTCTGGCTCAAAATGAGTCGAGAACGGGAGATTCTCGGAGCTTGAGCACGCGCAAAAAATAAGCCGAATTTTAGGATTTATTATTGTAAACGACAACCATATTTAGGTCCCAACTGTCAGTTGTTTGTGAACTAAATCTGCTGTAAAAGGCGAGTTGTTTAAGCCCACTGTATGAAATGCTTGAATGCGAACATGTCCATATTTATGTATTCCCGTCTCAACAGGGTAGGTTTTAGGTAAAAAAACTAAACGTAACATTAAAATATTTAATGTTTTTATAGTGTACGACAAGCCTCCCTCCCTAGATATTCTGAGCAGTATAGAGTTATATAAAATATAATATGAAGTTGTTTAATATAAGTAAAATTTTTTATTTTTTTTACTTATAATACTTAAGTACATTAGAAATCAAGTACTTTCATTCTTTAATTTAAGAAAATGTAAATTAAATTGAATTAACATCGACTACTTAATACTTGACTGGAGTAATATTTTATTAGGGTACTTGCACTTTTACTTGGGTACTTGATTTGTGTACTTCGTCCACCATTGTTAGGCACTTTATATAATGATGATTATACTCTTATAGATGCAGCAGCGACCCACAGCGATACAGGAATTATTACACACCGTACACTGGCCAGGTAAGAAAATCACATGGGTGCCGATCTGTGGCCTTTTGAAAAATAGCAATGAAATATACTTCATTTTTTCTTTTTTTGCAGTGGAGCTTGTCTGAGCAAAACCAGAGTTATATATTATAACTGTTCAAGTTAGTTGGAAGCATCCTGATAAACCCAGAACTTTCGTGAAGCAGGAAGAACGACCTAAATCAGAGCGTGTTTTGCTTTGATCAGCAGTGCTTCACCTTTACATAAAAATAATTGGTTCTGTCTGTCTGTAATTTCATTAACAAAGGTCATTGCTTATAATGAGGAGCTCACTTTTGAGTACCAGAATGCAGATAGTTTTTAATGGGTCGTTCATCCAGAAAAATGAACATTTGGTCATCGTTTACTAACACTCATGGCTTTTTTTTTCTTCTGTGGAACACAAAGCAGTTGTTCAGAATGTCCGAGCTGCTCATACATAGAGGCATATCTGTTTATGTTCATCTGATACAGTTATCCTGTATTTTTAGGGATGTTCTGAATTTGAGTTTGCTTTCTAAACACTGAATCATGACTGATTTCATTGACAGCCCTAGATTTGAACAGTAACAGTGTACTGTATATAAGATAATATATATATTATTTCTTAATATTTCTACTTATTTGCACCACATACATTTTTGTAAATGTGTGTAAATCTTCCCACAGAGCTTCTCCTTGCCATCGTCACATTTAGCTCTTTGTGGCTTTTAAGGGAATATTTTACTCTGTAAAACTGTTTTAGACTAATATTTATTGTGGAATTTCTACTAATAAATTTGCATTGGAAATGTTTCTCAGGTTTATTCATCTAATAGTGGGACTACAAGTGAATATTTTACTTGTTTAGGCTTGATAAATGTTCACTTGAGCTTCTTTGAAAAGACTTTCATTGTGAATCCCAAACTGATATTTGCACCAAATTAAAAGGTCCTAGTCATTTTGTTTTAAACCTTTATTAATTTAATATAAAATTTGTTTATTGAAATTAAAGTCTGTCAAAAAGAATAACTTTCCATAGAAAACAATGCAAAATACACGTTGCATGTATTCAAAACAAGAACTTCTGTATAAATATTATGAAAATTATTAGACTTTTAATGACCACCAGTATGCACAAAAAACAAAAAACACTTGTTTTGTAGTGTATGACTTTGCAATTTTTCAAACAAGTCTCTGATAGATCATAAAATAGAAGAAAAAAAAGAAGAGTTAACCAAAAATTTAAATATACTCATCATGAGTTTGTTTCTTCATCAGATTTGGAGAAATGTAGCACTGCATCAGTGTCTCACCAATGGGTGCCATCAGAATGAGAGTCCAAACAGCTGATAAAAACATCACAAGAATCCACAGCACTCCTATTTATTTAATTTGTTTGTGTGTTTGTTTTTAATATTTAATTCAAATCTTTCATTATACTACAGTAGATATTTTCCTAGTGACTGCTTTTTTTTTTTTTTTGAAGGCTATATATTAATAGATGTAATTACTCATGCTTATATGATCTGCTTGTGCAATTATTCAGAGGTGGTTGTGTATCTGATTAAACTCAGTAATCAGGCATCATCACCCTCTGATGCAGCAGTACTGCACCCTTCGCTGAAGGACACATCTCTGACCACAGGGGGCAGCGCTTGTTCAATTGGCACATTTCAATCCTATCCTAACAAACCATGCATCAATGGAAAGCTTATTTATTCGGCTTTCAGATTATGTACAAATGTCAATTTGACAAAATTGACCCTTCTGACTGGTTTTGTGGTCCAGGGTCACATATAGTGAATTAAGCTCCAAACTCCATCATAATGCACAATGTTTCCATCTAACATGTATTTTGAGCTGCAGCTCGTCATCTTAATGGAGTGTTTCACTAGTTAGCAACCGGTTACCTCACCTGAATATGTTCTAGATTTAAGTGTTGGATGTTATCTTTGGAATGGAAATATGGATATTACACTCTACAAAATGTTGGGTTGTTTCAACATATTTGACCCGAAGCTGGGTTGAAACAACCCAACATTTTTTAGAGTGTAATATCCATATTTCCATTCCAAAGATAACATCCAACACTTAAATCTAGAACATATTCAGGTGAGGTAACCAGTTATATAGTATATTATAACAGAAAAAGGAATCTTGCAGGAATGAGCAGCTCTCAGTGTCTCTGACCTTTGGCTCAGGATGACCTCCAGGTATGTCTAACAGGCCTGCAGCCTCTGCCACTTTCTGGCTTCTCCTCAGCAGGACGACGTCTCCGTCAGCCGTGGCCACGACAGCACCGACCCCCAGCGGCTGAGCGAGGAAGGCCTGCGGATCTGCGCATTCGTTCTGTCCGTGACTCTGCAGCTTCCCCGCCTCTCGTGACCAGTTAGTCCCCAGATAGTCTTTATAACAGGTCAGGCCTAACTGTAATGTCAGCTGCTCATCTTTTGCCAATCTTCCTGAGGATTTATCAGCACTTTCTAATTGCGAGCGCGTTAGGTTTTGGGCGGCCTGTTCTGCCACTGGTCCCTTTTCCATGACGGAGAGCATCGCTGAATGCAATCTGAATTTAGATCCATTGAAGAGCCACGGTTCTTTGGTCATGCGGTCACTCCACACAGCTTCAATGTGCTGCTCGATTTCAGGAAAACTCTGACGATTGAACCTAGTGTGGGATTGGAGGAAGTCAGAGATTATATTTTTTGCAGCATCAAAAATGTATAGGCGAGAGCGGGGGTGATTTGAGCCTGTGGGGAAGCTGAGCCTTGTTTCTAGACAACCTTAGAGAACCTTTTTAATGTTCAAGGACTCGTGCTTCTTGTGTCTGAACAATTACAGACAAATCTGAAAAAATACCACACGTGCTTGTGCTTCAGGAGGTTATAATACGAGGCTATACGGTTAGATCTAAAGTGCTGGATGATGCAAGTTTGTTCAAATGTTAGGAGTGCGGTAATCTGAGCCAAAGGTCCTAGAGTGTAATATCCATATTTCCATTCCAAAGATAACATCCAACACTTAAATCTAGAACATATTCAGGTGAGGTAACCAGTTATATAGTATATTATAACAGAAAAAGGAATCTTGCAGGAATGAGCAGCTCTCAGTGTCTCTGACCTTTGGCTCAGGATGACCTCCAGGTATGTCTAACAGGCCTGCAGCCTCTGCCACTTTCTGGCTTCTCCTCAGCAGGACGACGTCTCCGTCAGCCGTGGCCACGACAGCACCGACCCCCAGCGGCTGAGCGAGGAAGGCCTGCGGATCTGCGCATTCGTTCTGTCCGTGACTCTGCAGCTTCCCCGCCTCTCGTGACCAGTTAGTCCCCAGATAGTCTTTATAACAGGTCAGGCCTAACTGTAATGTCAGCTGCTCATCTTTTGCCAATCTTCCTGAGGATTTATCAGCACTTTCTAATTGCGAGCGCGTTAGGTTTTGGGCGGCCTGTTCTGCCACTGGTCCCTTTTCCATGACGGAGAGCATCGCTGAATGCAATCTGAATTTAGATCCATTGAAGAGCCACGGTTCTTTGGTCATGCGGTCACTCCACACAGCTTCAATGTGCTGCTCGATTTCAGGAAAACTCTGACGATTGAACCTAGTGTGGGATTGGAGGAAGTCAGAGATTATATTTTTTGCAGCATCAAAAATGTATAGGCGAGAGCGGGGGTGATTTGAGCCTGTGGGGAAGCTGAGCCTTGTTTCTAGACAACCTTAGAGAACCTTTTTAATGTTCAAGGACTCGTGCTTCTTGTGTCTGAACAATTACAGACAAATCTGAAAAAATACCACACGTGCTTGTGCTTCAGGAGGTTATAATACGAGGCTATACGGTTAGATCTAAAGTGCTGGATGATGCAAGTTTGTTCAAATGTTAGGAGTGCGGTAATCTGAGCCAAAGGTCCTGGGGTAAGTGGCTCAATGATTATAAAGTATTATTTTACTGTAATTCTACATTAATTTTAGACCAAACATTTTTGGTTTTGCTCTCTTTTTTTAACTTGATTTTGTTCTGATCTGTGGCCTTATGAAAATTGGCCATTGAAGTTTTATGAATTTATATTTCCCTGCAACATTTATAAGTGGGATGTTGAGTGCTATTAGCCCAGTTCTGTAAGGTCAGTTGCATTCCGTTTTTATTAGTTCTTCAATTTGAACTTTTTGCTCTAAATAAATTAAAAAATGCCTTCAAAGTTGTGAACTGTATCTTAAAAGAAAACTTTTCAGAAGTCATCCATCCATCCATTCTATCCTCCAAAGCTCTCTGTGCTTGTTAAAGTTGCGGGGAGCTGGATCGTAACCCAGCGTCTTGAGCTGCAGGCGAGGAAACTCCCGGCACGGATGCGCAGTCCATCACAAGCCTCAGTCATTTTTATTGAATCTCTCTTCTTTTGATATAGCAATGTTCAGTTTTACTTCAGCATAATCAATGGCACAGTTTAACTCCATGTGGCTCAACTTACCCCTCAATGGGGGCAAGTTGAGCCAAGAGACCACTTTTATTTTGAAAGGCATATCTTGAAAGCGGTTTATTTTAGATCCAAAGTGATTATTCCCAAAGGATGCACCACCTCCTGAAATGTATGTACTTATTTAAGTTGGACCTGCTATGTATAAAGTCTGTTTTTCTTAACTGGTCACCATGTATTCATTACAGCCCTATTTTGTGACAACTTAATATTTAAAAGTACAAATATTCTTAACTAATATGACAATAATAAATAATTTAGAAAACACATTTATAATGGAAAGATACTGTACCTGTCTGAAATTTCTACATGAATTTGATTTTCTCCAAGAGCCTGTAATGGATGACAGTGCAGCATGAGAGACACCTCAGTCTGGATGCATCACAAAACCCTTTCAAATTCATCTTAGTGTGCTGCCTACCCAGATATGATTTTTGAACAGTGTACATCTAGACGGAAAGTTTGTTTAATCAATTATGAATCAATTGGAAAAAAAAACAATTTAACAGAAAGATTACGTTTAATTTTTTTTTTTATTCTAAATTAAAACACCCTTTTGTGACTGCTACTACTTATTCTGTCGTTTACAATAAAAAGAGAAAATAGAAACAAACGTACTGTACTAAGTTTAAATAAAGCACATGGTACACGCTATATTTTCTTCATCTCTTACAAATATAATTTGTATTTTCAGAGAAGCTCACCTGAGAATCCAGAATTATTAATAATATAATTATTTCGTTTTCCATAAGTTTTCCACATCAAGTGAAATTAGCTCAATTATCATATATTGTTTTATACATATAATTATTTTGTCTTGGTAACACATAGGCAGCTTCTCCTAAGGGGTCTTTAGAGATTATTTGAACAGAATAATATGAATAGAAAATTGCAATTTACTTAAACTGTGAATTCTCTTGCTACATCAATAGTATTTGCATACATTTCTACACTTTTCTTTTCTTATCCCAAGTGAGGAGTAAAATGCTTGTTTAGCTGACTTCAAATTGACACAGGGTTGCTCCATTAATATTTAATAAACAAAATAAAATTTTCAATCGTCATACACTTTTAATGTAGAGAAGAGAGTCGCTTAATATATAATGTATAAAAAATACTGATTTTGCGATGACAAGCCAACGTCTGATTTAAAAACCTGTTTGCTGAATTTTTTTATTTTATTTTACATTTTTCATATGGGATTTTTTTTTGCTTTACATTTTTTTTTTTTTTTGTGAAACCAAAGCCAGCCCGACCAAATTACACAGACATAAATTATATAAATAGTCATGTGACACACATTCTCATCTATTACTTTCTTAATACACACATCAAGTTGCCCACAGTTAAGGCAACTTATTTTCTGGACATCGAGAAGAGAGAGGTTGCCCATGAGACAACCGTCTGCAATTCCCAGGTTTTAAAAAAACAATGTAAAAGTGTTCTGATAAGACAATAGAACTACACTTTTTATATTCTGTCCAGAACTAGAAGTGTTAAAATTTCTAAGGAATTCTAATGAATAGAAAGTGCGAGACAAGACCACCAACCTAAAGAACAGAACTGGTCATCAAAAAAGAAAAATATCCTTTAAGCCAATTAAACACCCCCATATATAACTATTATACAGAAAAAAAAAATGTCTAAGAAAACAACAAAATTTAATTGCATAATTGATTTGAATATTCTAAGCATTAATGAATTAGATAAAAAGGTAATGTTAAGCAAAACATTGCCGCAAATTATCTGATACATGTGGTCAAGTCATTAAGCATCTTCATTATAAGAATGGCCAGTGCAGAAAAACAGGTCATTGTTTTACAAAGCAATGCATCACAAAACAATTCAACAGCTGAATGAATCTTATCGACAGGTGCATCTGATAGCGATCATCTCCTCGTACTCCTTGTAGGCAATGGAGCCGTCGTTCTCAATGGTCAAAACACTTAACGGATTATATTCTGAAGGTACACATGAAGGTCTAGGCACAGAAGAGTCTAGCTTCTCGTAAATGATGTTCTGAACCATCGTGTGCACCGGAGACCCATAAATATATCCCACAGCCCTCGGACAAGATCCCTTACAGTACCTCGGGTTGTATTTGTGAGGCGCTATGATCCAATGGTCCAGTTTGAGCTGACTGAAGCTCACTTTGAAATCATACAGGTCACAGTCATCTGTGGGGAAGTCGTACATGGGGACGAGTTTGGGCGCGCTGGTTTCGGGTAAATCGGTGCTCTTTAGGGTGCCTCGTCTCTTTCGTGAAGTTGAATCCCACAAAGTGGACTTTCTATCCCAGTGGCTTGATGTCAGGTCTACCATCATACCTCGTGTAGCTCTTCTCTGGTACGCAACCTCGCTGGTGTCATTAAGGTACAGGAGAAGAGACGGAGATCTGGGAGTTAACTCCACTGGGCTCTTGTGAACCCGGCCTCCGGGTCTGGGGATCATGTCTTCAATGCAGGTCAGGTTGATCAGCAGATGGATGTCCTTCTTATGGGCTTGAATGAGAGGATGGAGGAAGGAGGTCACGTCAACCTCCACCCATCGGCGAAGGACCCTTCTGTCAGTGTGGACGAGGAAGCTGAGAAGAGGGACCGACTGCTGCGTGCCGGGATGCGGAGAACACATCTGGTCCTTCGAGGGCTTCTGTTCTTTCACGTCGAGATAGCAGAGCGATGTGAAGGAGGCGATGTGGTTGTGGTCGAAAGAGTAAAGCAGGACCGACTTCAGCAGCTGCTCCTGAGACCTCACTCGATTCAGACTGTAGGAAATATCCTGCATGAAGAATTCTGCCAAGACAACACATAGCACCATTGAGGAACGCATCCTTTGCTTGACCTCAGTTATTCGTGTTTGCGTGAGTGACTTGTGATTACTTGACTGCAGTTTCATAGTTTCTATGTTCGGAATGGAATAGGGTGATTACGTGTCAACTTGGCTCCAATTTTTTATTTTGGTCATCTTTTTTCTAGTTAAAAGAAATGCATAAATGAAGAGGAAAACCAAAATATTAAATATCATGGACGTATATTTACTAAATAATGCACTGTTTTGTATAGGAGGGTCAAAACGATCATTTTCACCTGAGATTTGGAGCCAAATCACATGGGGTTAAAAATGACTTCGAAAACTGGCAGCATCGTTATATTATTTTTACACAGAGATTGGTAGGTCTATTTATAACATCTGTTGATTTTATCAATCTTTGTTGCATTATATGCCAATGGTGACAGTTCGAAAATGGGGAAAAAGCACTTTTTAAGTTCATTCTCCAAAGTTTGCATGGCTGTAACTCAAGAAGTATTAAAAGTATCTTAATGTCCTTTTAGATTTTGGATCTTAACAAACTTTCCTTTTGGTATCTTCATTTTTAAGTCCCCGTATTGTTCATTCCCCGAGATATGGGGATCTCAAAGCGGCTACATGTCCAGATTGTTGAATAATATCCATTTTCATTTTCAGACCAAATGTTGGTCACTTTGTATACAACTGATATTTATTGTATTTAAAGCAGAATGTCTGAGGAATAAATAATGTTGAAACTACAATTATAGGTTGTTTCTCTATATCAAAACAATTGCACAGAACATATCTTTCTGAGTGCTAAATATGCACAGAAATGGTCAAGTCGAGGCACATTAAATTGCTCTAATTAGCCTATTCATAAGATTCTACACATTATTCCCATTTTTTAATGACCACCATTGGCACATACTGCAACAAAGGTTAGCAACGCATGTAGCTATATAACTCGTTGGTAAACAACTCTCAGATTCACATGATAGAGTAATTCAAAGGGTAATACCTCGGTTTTGCTCGAGACACTCCTCTCGAGGCGTGATCAGACGGGCAGTGTTGTACAGGTGGGAGGCCTCGTGAGTCCTGTCCGGTTTGGATGATAGTTTGTACAGTCTCTTCATGTAGCGCACATACCTGGAGTCGGGTTTGGCTCGTGGTGTGAAATCTCCCCACGGGTTCTGCTCTGACAAAGCCTTCAGCAAAGGGCTCAGGATATTCCCATGGTGCAGGGAGACGTCGGGCTCGACAGACTCGTTTTCCAAGCTGTAGCATGATGTAAATGATAGGCGGATAAGCGCGAGGACCATAAAGGATCTGAGTAGGGAGCAGCGCGCACCACATTTAAAAAGCGGCGTCGCCATAACAAACACAGTCCGGAGAAGACTTCAGAGTCTGCGGCCAAACCGCGCTTCCGTCGCCCTTACCTGACAGACAGGTGTGCGCAATCAGGGCGAGAAAGGTATAGGTATAGGTCTCCACAAAATGTTCATATATTTTGGTTTTACGCGTCTCAAACAACGCGACATTTCTTTTAGATTCGCTGTCAGCGAGCTCGGACAGGTCTAGTTTAAGCTCAAGTTAGGTTTGGATTTGATGCCCAAAAGAGTGGATTTGGCTAACAAAAGAAATTGCCTACGTGTCAGCAGTGTTGGGGAAAGTTAATTTTAAAAGTAATGCATTACAATATCGCGTTACTCCATAAAAAAGTAACTAATTACGTTACCTGGTTACTTTTTATGGAAAGTAATGCGTTACGTTACTTTTGTGTTACTTTTAAAATCTGGACAGGGCTTGCTTGTTTGATTTTAAAATAAAAAAGTTCTATTTTTGGCAAATATAAAAGCCTTTTCACACCAAACGTGAAATGAATAAGCCTCAGGCTGAAGGGAAAGTACATTTACATCCGTACAGTAGAATGCAGAAGAAGACATTTCAACACTTCAGCAATAAACAAAGACACAAATGTTTGTCTAGAGTGATTTGTGCTTATAAGTACGGTTTAACTGGATCATCGAAGACATTGGTTAATAGAGTGGGATTAAATACATAAAGGATATTTGTGTTGTTTAACATTTAATTATTGTAGGTTTGCGTCATATTCTGAGTTGCATTCTTTTTATTCATTTTGAGGAATACTGAATCTGTGTTTTTTTGTGTGAGTGAGATTAATTAATGCATTAATCTATTTTAGAACTACAGTAACATCTGATTTCTCTCAACATGGGGACAGGAGAAAAAAGTAACTCAGATATTCTCTTGTAATGCGATACTTTACTAGTTACTTGAAAAAAGTAATCTGATTACGTAACTCGCGTGTCAGTAATTACTTGATGATTGGCTTCATCACTCTGTCTCCTCTCCACCAGTAAGCTGGTGTGTGGTGGGCGTTCTGGCGCACTATGGCTGCCGTCGCATCTTCCAGGTGGATGCTGCACACTGATCGTGTATGAGGAGATACCTCCTGACAATGTAAAGCGCTTTGAGTGCCTAGAAAAGCGCTATATAAATGTAATGAATTATTATTATTATTATATAAACTGATAATAAAGCACATTTGTAGGCTTTTCACAGAACATTTA